TGACATTTTTACTAATTTCTAAAACAGTTAATATTGCGTAAAATGTGAGGCATATTATAATAATAATTGATTAAAATGATGAAGATTATAAAGAATAATGTTAATATAATTTGTGGTCAGCAACTATGATTCATCAGCCCACATACATACGTACTTAAATACGTAAATACAAAGCTGGAACTAACCACCATAGCTCCTCGCTTTGCACCTTTGCTGTCTTAACAATTTATTGGACTAATTTTGGATGCCTCACAAAACACGCAACAGTAATAGTATTAATAATATACATTGAGCGTCGATAAACATTTTATAGCCTGCCTTCCTTTCTAAGGCACGTTGCCATTTCCCTTTCTATAAATAAAGTGCAGTATGATAATGACACACGTTAGACGACTTGCTGTAGCACGTGCTATCCGTTATAAACCAGGGGAAAAAAAGTGCACGCGTAGCCGGCAGGTGAGACGTAGCAACATCTGTCCGATTACAGCCTTCAGCATGAAGATTCTCAACCAAACCACATACCGTAACGCACTGTAGATTCCTACAGACAAGCAGAGCAGTTGCCACAATGTCATGTTAGGACTTGCGTTCGTAGAACGTTTGAACGATCGGTAGGCCTGAAGATCAGCTGTGAGCCCAATTCGCCAGAGCCAAAGTTAAGGGGTACAACTGAAATATGGCTGCTATTGAAGATGGCTGTCTTCTGGGTTGTTGGTAGGAGTATGAAAATCTCAAATCCTACATGGTTGCTATTTACAGCCTTTTATTTATCACGTGACAAAACTGTAATTTCAGTTTTTAGTTTGTGTGTAAATTGTGTAACATTTCTATAAGTATTTTAAATGTAAATAAACATGATTTGTGACAACTTTTAGAAATATTTTTTTTCGTTTCCTCGATTCGTGCCACTTTTCTTTGCCCTGCCACCGGCAAATTGTTTTATTAAAACTTAACGAAATTTCGATACTAGAAAACCTCAAGGGAAGAGACCACTTGGAAGATATATATTTAGATGAGAGGATAATATTAAAACTGATCTTACATATTACAAATTAAATCAGTATTAACTTTGCAAGAATTATCTGTACAAACGAGTTTCTTCACTCAGTCGGCTAGTTAATTCGATTAAACACTATTGAATGGACTGAAGATATAGAACCACCTGAAATGGGTGTCACAGTGAATACCACAGAAGTCCAAAATGTTGTCTGCGAATGTTGAAGAAATACGAGTAGGGCCAACGGTTGCCTCATCGAGGTGTCGACTGAGCAAGTTGTCTCAGGCTGAAACGCTACCAAATTGTAACCAGGAACAAGACGGTTTTAGTCTTGATTTGACTCCAGGATATTTAGTTTTCTTCAGACCCCCCTTGCGATGATTGGAATCATGCCTTTAAATAGGTAATGACTGGCTTCTCCCTCATTTCCAAGTCGCCATACTTTATCACTCCCTCAGTTTTTGACCCCAAGTAAATTACTCAACTGACACAGCGTCTTCAAATATCAGCGGGGTTTATTTAGAACATATCCTGTAGCAAGCAGATGACGCCACTTGGAAAGTCTTGGAAGAGTTTAGGCAAAGTTCAGTTAATTTGCCGCCCTTTCACCAGAACGGGGTGGATGATCAGCATTAGTCCTACTGTTCATCATTAGTTACCCCCAGTGAAATTTCTGATATGTCCAGGGACGTCATAGAAGAAGATAAATATCCCAAACTCCACTGTAAGGGACAAAACTCTAGCATTCAAGAAACTGAAAATGTGTTCTGGTCAGTGAAATTTCAATGTACAAACGTAACAAACGTCAGTTTACGCTATTGATTCCGATCTTAACATTACCGAGGTGTGTACTGTCCAATTTATGTGCCTGTGATAATGAAGCAGAAAAAACTGTTAGGCCTCTAGCGATTCAATTGGAAGCAGATTTTTACCGCGGCAGCTTAATGTAATGAAAAGCACCGTGTTCGTTTCTGTCAGGACAGATGGAATTTATAAAACCTCTGATATCTGCGCGATACCTTATCTTTTTATCACCTTCTAGTGAACAAATAGGGTAACGTAATTTATGTACATTTAACTCAGATATTTTATTTGGACTTAGTAAAGAGTACGTAACCAGATGATGGGAAAAAATTATATGAGGACCATCATAATAATCGAATATTATTAGAGTGATTAAATCGAGCTGGATGAGATTGATGGAACGTGCAGTTGGTATAAGGGCATTGTTAAAGAAAATGGGTGTGGACTGGATTAATTTGGCTCAAGGTATTCCAGTGGCGGGTTCATATGAACATAGTAATGAATCTTTGGGTTCCATAAAAGTTAGTGCATTTTATGACTATCTAAAGAACTACAGCTTCTCAAAAAGGATTCTGCTCCATGGAATTAGTGTTGTGAAGGCAGAGAGACCTTGTAATGGGCCTATTCCCCGTCTATGACGAATAGTTTCACAATTACTTCCGAATTGTAACACGTCAGAGTGTTTAACTGGACACTGTGACTGTACTATCTCTCTCTCTCTCTCTTCAATTCCAACACTTCCTTGGTCTAAACCAGTGATTTCAACCTGGGATACGCGAAGACATCTTAGGAGGTACGTGAAATTTAAAAAAAAAATGTATTATTTTATGATAAACACTGAATAATCAGTAATGTAATTTATTTAATTTATTTTAGATGTAGATTATATACTATGTATAACTTGAATTATAAACCAACAACTTTGGAGGTACAAAGTTGAAGAGAAATTATATCTGGGGGTACGCGAACAAAAAATGGTTGAATACCACTGGTCTAAACAATGACACCATGAGTGAATAGTCAGAATTTGTGCATTAGGCCTGCATCTACTTGTGCACAAAGCGTTTAACAAATGACACCGTTAGTTTGTTATGCGTACGCAACTGTTAATTTGTAATTTCTCCTAGCCTCTGTATAAAGACTGCAGAATTTTAAGAAAGATTAAAATCGTAAGTTCAATATAAATTTAGCAATGTGGGGAAAATGTGTTTTTCAGTTCTTCTAACAGAACATTCACAAAAAAAAGTGGTTGGTAGCTGTCGCTTCACTTGACAGTTGCATATCCATACAGTAACAATATGGAACTATGAACTACTACCCAGTTGCAGAAATGTTAATTTGTAATTACCGCCATTCTTTCTGTTTGTATGGAAGCAGTAACAAGGAACGTAGATGCATAACTATTTCCAGAATATATTGTTTCTATCAGTAAACAGTGTTCAAATGAAGAAATGCCATTGTTTCAAAAACACCAAATGATATTTTAGAACGTTTCTAATGGCGAATGAATATGTTTCCATTTGAAGATGATTGTCTTCTGGTATGTTGCGCCGTGTAGTCTAGTAGAAGCTTACCGATATTTCAGAGGTCCTTCTTACCTCCATCATCAGGGCGATGACGGAGATAACAAGGACGTCTGAAACGTCGGTAACCAAGCTACGTGGTGTAACAACCCAGAAGACAGCCATCTTCAGACTCACCGCCGTGAAAACCTCAGATCCTAATTATCCAGTTTTAATCGTTACTTTCTTTAACAAATTCCATTTGTTTGACAGAACGTAGTGCCGTCGTTTGGCATAGCATTGGAAAATACCGGGATCACTAAATTCTTGGACTATGTCAATCGTCTGTGTTTTTTAAATAACACTACGTTTCGGAAGTTGGATCTGCTTCCGTCCTCAGAACCTGGGGGACCAGTGATTGAGGTTAGCTCTTTCTGTCGAATCCAACTGAGTAGGTGCCCCTCTCCCCCTTTTTAGCCTGAGAACGGAAGCTGATCCAGCTTCCGAAACGTAGTGTTCTTTAAGAAAAAACAGTTGATGGACATACTCCAAGAACTTGGTGATCCCGATATTCACACACCATCGTCATTACCCTTTAAAATTGGTTAGAAAAGGCCAAATATCGTTCAGCGATTTGACCAGCCGACAACAAAACTCCTTTCCAAAGTTTTGACCCCGCGCAGTCAAATGCATAATTTTCTGACACAGGAAAGGAAGAGAAGGAAACACGTTTGTAAAGCAAAGTTCGTAAGACAGAGATATGACCACTAACTGAGAAGGATAGAGATACTGCTGTGAAACTCGTATAAAGAGGAAAGACAGGGCAGAGAGCACATGAGAGAGAGGGGCGGAATATTGATCTCATCCGATACCTCCTAGTTGCTCTCATGGATTGGTGAGAACCGACACAGAATTAACCAATGGAAGTGCTTTGAGATGGAAACCTTGAAAAATTGCGAGGGAAATTTCCACTGCGAGTTCCCGCTTGAATCCACGTCGACCCGTTGGTTTCTGCTGGTTGCTTGAAGGGGAGAAATGTATATGTGTGTGTGTCATGCGGGCCATCTGCCACAATTGTAGGCGGTTCATGGTGTTCTTGCAACGTGTATACTGGTTTTGTAAGCGAGGAAGTGGATGCGTCAAATGTAATGTGCAGCATTACGACACACATTAAGAAGCAATATTAAAATTTATCATACCAATTTCCTGTAATTATTTTTTCCCCATTTTGCCAGGGAATATACAGTGCTATTGTCTGTCACCTTTCACTGTCTGAAGTTACGAAACCTTCCATTGAATTATTTTTTTTAATAATAAATTATACGTTAATTTTTAAAGTACGTAAAATTAAATTTTTTGAAGTTATGATTCAATTTCAATTTGTCAATATGAATTTAAAGTTTCAAAACTCCCTTTACCATTTTGATAAACTCAAAACAACATTAATATCTACTGTTTTCCAGTAATTTGTAATGGCCAATAGGAAGACATGTATGAAATTTGGAGCAACGTATGAAACAGGAATTTACCGTATTTATTAACAAAGCGTATTAAGTGTATTTGTAAGACATATTCGATTTCAATTATAAAGGGTATAATTAATTATTATTATTGTTACTTGGTTATTAAAAAGTTTCCTAAACTGCGTTAACAGAGCCCTCTGGTAAACGCGGGAAGTAATTCAGTCGAAGGTCAGATAGAACATGCGCGGAGTAGTTCTCTTTCACTTGTGCTGTTGGAAGCGACGGTTGTGTGAGGAGAGTTGTCCTTCGTAATATAATAACAAAGTGTGTTTGAAGCGGGAATTAATTCCAGTTGTATTATAAATAATGGCAGATACAGTGGCTGATACAAAGTAAGTACATGTACTACTTGCAAATTGCATAAAATCATAAATATCAGGACCTGAATCCTGATGTCTTTGTTTTGGCGGGCAGTGTAAAGAAGGTGAGTGAAGATGGCGTATTTCCTAGTGAAGCGAATTACACGGCCATTAAAGGCCGGCAGATTTTAGTATATAGTCATGGGACTTGAATTGTAGTCTAATGTGTAGTTATGTGGAGATTTTATATAGATTGTTATCAGTGTTCATTATAATTTGTATTGATTATATGTAGTGAGAATGCCGGTAATTCTTCCCAGTGTCGATAGTCTTTGATTATCAAGCACGTCAAATACAGTGTTGCCAAGTCATGTAAATAAACTGGTTGATTGTGTGCAAGTTATTTTTGATGTGCTAATAGTTATATATTAAAATTGTTGAAAAATCGTTGGAACATCTTTTCGCGCCATTAGTTCGAACAACGTCTACTAGATGGAGATGTACCAGATTGTGACCGCGTCGTGAGCCGTGGTCGGGTGTTGTGTCATGAGGAAGGCGAACCGGCTTTTTATTCCGTGTGTAGGTGTCTATTAAGAGATTCATTTCTCGATTTTAATCACGAGGAAGAACGGGACATATTTCGATTCGATCAAGTCGCAGTGTAAGGATTTGAAAAAAATGTGCTTCCTTTTTTCGTAACGGGATTTATACCGTAATAGTGGAACACTTGTGCCTGTGGAGTACCCATTTAAGTGAAAGAAAATGGTAATCGTAACGTGTTGAATATCAGCGGATTTATTTTGTTAAAGTCCTTTTTAACGTTCCGTAGCCAGATTGGATTTTAACTTCTCAATTGGTGTTGAAGTTATTAAAATGTTTGTTTCACAGGGAGACCATAACTGCTGGTACTCCTGAGAAGAAGGAAGTTGAAAAGGTGGATGTAGTTGATGAAGACTCTAAGGCTTCTGAGAATGGTGATGTGGAAAAACCAAAAGAGAATGGAACTGATGAGAAGGACTCTACTGAAGACTCCAAGGATAAGGAGGTTGAATCTGCAGAGAATGGTGATTCTACAGGTACAGCTCACTTCTGCATATATTTAATATTCTATAATACACACCAGTATTGATAGAATTATTCCAGCATGTGGTTTATTGCCAATGTCTGAATTCTTTTGTAAGTGTATGTGCAACTTTATAATTGCTTTTATTTGTTGCTTGGGATTCATGAAATTTTTTATAATCTACATTTTTAAACAGTTATCCTGTAGGTTCATGTAGGGGTTAGAAAGATTGTCTGCATATATCTTTTCCAGAGCTTCAGTTTTTTAGCAAATGTCTGCTTCATCTTGACATGGGAATGATGCCATAAAAAGTTTACTGCTCAATCACAGTGGCTTAAGAAACTTTGCATTGTCACGTTTTGTATTTTAAGTCTAAGCCAGTGTCAATTTTGTGTGGCTGCATCATGTTCAAAATATGCTGTATTGGAGATTACATGTTATTTATGATGAGCAGAAATTAAATTATGCCTGAACATAACACCTGATTTACTAGGCAATTGTGGTGAGGCAAACATATTCAGATGTTTATTTTCAAATCAAGTGTGGAAATGGTCTGAATGAGTAATTCAAATTATCATTTGCAGTTTTTTTAAGTGGGTTGTCTAGTAAGCACTTTGTTGTTTCTGATGTAGAATGTCTGGGACTTGTTCATTCAGGCTCTGGATGCTCTTTTGCCGAAAATACTTGAATACTTATCATTTCCACCTGCAGAGGTAGCATGTTACTTTCATCAAAATTGTATGTAAGGTAATAGTTTCACAGATTGTGAAAACAGGGCCACCTTAATATGTTATACAATTTATTTACCAATAAACATTTCATTACTGACCATCATGTAGTATGTAGCAATCATTGTTCATTATGTAAGATTTGAGGTTTTCAGAGCAGTGAGTGAAGATTGCTGTCTTCTGGCTTGTTGTGCCATGTAGTCTGGTAGATGTCCACCAGAGGTCATGGTGCCTCCATCATTAGGGCCATTCATCGCCCTGGTGATGGAGGCAGCATGACCTCTGAAATGGTGGACGTTACCAGACTATAAGGCACAACAACCTAGAAGACAGCAATCTTCAATTATTGTTAATTGCTTAAAAACAATGAATGGCAGTAATGCGGTCAAGTTGTGGATATTAGTGGGCCAAGAAACTATTTTTCCCTCGGTTAGACATGACTTGCAAACAGCTTTCTTCTGTCTGCCAAAATGACATAGGAACTTCTTGACCTAACACTCGTGCGAAACTTGAATGAAACTGCTGAGAGTTTGCGTTGCCTCACATTGGCAGACCAGCTGTAATTGAGAAAACAGTTGCTCAGCTCAAGGTAAATTTCAGCAATTATTTGCCAGTTTATTCCTCTGGAGTAAATTGTAGCACCTGTTCCACATGAGGGATACAAAAAAGAGTGCAAGTAAAATGCAAGGAATGTGATGTGAGGTTGTGTATTGTTGAGTATCTTGAAGTGTATCACAAGAAATAGAAACTGGTGTTTTGAGGAGTGCTGGTAGGCTTCAAAGCCATAAAATATCTCACCAAACAGGTATGTAAAAGAAAATGTTTTCTGCCATTGTGTTCCACTGAGAGAAATAGATTGGTACTGAAGTGCATGAAATGAGGCATATGGGTGTTGTAGGATGGGGTGCTAGAATTTAGAAGTCCAGTATGTTTTCATAAATTATAGGTTATACTGCTATGTGGGACAACATTTACCCTTTAATGGTATTTAGTTCCATATTTTATTTTACAAATACCTAGGTGACCCTGCATTTTAGGACATATGTGTGAATTTAGTATTTTGTGTAAGTAGGATAATTTGATTGGAATATTTTCTCATTTTGTTTAGTAGTAAGGTGTTGATTTCATGTGTTATGTGAAATATTCAGCTCCCTCTTGTCAAATATTGAAATTATGCTTACTATGCTATGTTCTGTTGACAGAGGCTTATGCATTTTGTATTAGTAGGTAGACAAAGAATTGTGCTGGCATATGGGAACAGTGTTTCAATTTCAGGCATGGCAAAGCACCAAGCAGCATTGGTATGGATAAAATATTCCAAACATCCAGTATTGCCCATTTGCAGTTGATTAAGTCTGGGAGACTGCAGACTTTGCAGTAACCATTTTGGCTCACGTTTCTTAATTCATGTTTCAAAGAGGATGATAAGGTAGTTTGTATTACATTACACGCAGTACCTCATATCCCAAACAGTTGAATTATATACATGCTTTTCTATATAACTTTGGAATTTCAATTTGAAAATTGTGACAGTTGCTTCTCTTTGCATTTTATAGATACCTGGTTATAGAACTTAATATACATTACAGTAGATCTGCTTTGTATTGGTAATAACTTGCAAGTGGTTTATTTCATAAGTAATCTATTGCAAATTGTTTTTTAAGTGAAAACTCCTCAGTTGTCAATTAAAATGCACCGCTAAACTTTAAAGAATTTCTGATATTACAAAAGCATTTTCACAGCTGTTTAAAGAACTTTATTACACATGTATTCATTTGCATGTGTGTGATTTTATAGTTTAAACTGCTAATCAGGTATTTATAAAGCTAAGTATTAAATATGCTATGAATCTGCTATAAAACAGCTCATTGTAAGTTAACTTTCATTGTGAATCATTATTAATGTATATACTCACCCTATAATTTTATCCAGATTCAGTGGAGGTGAGTGCCACCAAGCGGAAAAGTGGAGGTGGAGATGTCCCTGATGACAAACCAGCTGAAGGAGCAAGTCCAGAGAAGAAGGCGAAGCTGGATGAGAAGCCAACTGAAGCAGAGTCCAAGGCAGCCAATGGTGAAAGTGAGGCAGTTGCCTAAATTCTGCAATAACAAAACTTGATTCGGTTATTATTTAAATCCACCTGTTGTATTGCGAGTGTGTTTCTTAGTGGGACCAAGTTTCAAGAACATGTTACTTTATGTTGCAGCACCCACGAGACCTCTTTTCAACATCAATTGGTATCTTCTGTTCTTTCAGACTAATTGCCCATTGTTAATGGAAGAGTTTGATTGGACATTAACTGCATTTATTGTGTTTCTTCTTCTAGTTGCTGGTTTTTTTCTTAACATTCCTGCATCTAACTCTGGTGCAAAGAATTTAAAACTTGGACACAAGTAAAATGAGTGGAGGTATCTAGATTGTTAGGCAACTGAGCATACTTTAACTTAGAGGAGTATGACTCAAAGTCCCTCTTCCCTTCTGTAATAAGTCTAGCTGGCATCTGTAGTTCACATTCTCTTCATGTGGTGCACAAGTGTATTTGAATGTTACAAATCAGTAATATACTGGTATTCAATTTGAAATAATTTTCAATATTGAATGCAAGAACATCACTCTGTAATGAGGTTTTTCATTTTACAAATGTTACAAGGTTTTTTGTAAGATATTGTAGCCAAGGCAATTTGACATTGAGCTGGATCTGTGATTCAGTGCTGTGAGGCATTTTGAATGCTTTTCAAACTCCATCTGTGGTATTCTGCAAAGATCAGTCTTAACTGATACCTGCGGTGATACTATTGTTTGTTAAAACATCCTTCTGTCACCCTCCAGTTTCTTCTCTTACAAATTGGATACAGCACAAGTGCTTGGTCTGGATTGGGGGGAATGTGAAAGTGTTTCTAGTAGTCCTGGTTTTAATTTTATAGTATTGAGACATGTACTCTGGAAGTATCATACGGGTAATTGAGTACACAATTGATATCCCTCTAAATTAAGAGTTTTCGGCTAATATTCTTTGCAGCACGAATGACAGTTTCAAAACCATACCTTGTGCCTGGTCTGGATTTGAGGTGGTTTTTATTTTAAGTTATGTATAAGGGCTAGGAGACTTATTTGGATGGTGGCAGCATAAATATGTTGCCTAAAATAATTGGTATATGTTTGATGAAAATAAATGTGGGGAAGTGACCCTGTCTTTTTTTTATATTGAACTCTTGCCTGTTTCAGTTACTAACAACTCTCACGTTAATGAATATTTTTAAAAGCCAAGTCTCAAGTGCATCGCATGTGTGAAAGGTTGGAAACAAAACTAAACAGATTTTTAATTACACCACACTGTGTTCTTTCCTGAGAACTTCAGATTTTTTCTACCAGCTTTTTTGTATGGCTGGTGATTTTTTATTCATTAATCTTCTTGGCCAAAGGAAATTTGTATACATTGTACTTGATGTGTAGATCTGATGTTTGTTTTTCTGGGATACCTATTTGATCTGAAGTACAATCACCACTTTTGTTTTTGTTGTGTGGGAGTGAACCATGTATACAACATAGTGGTGCATTTAGAGATCAAATACTAATCCATGTATTGTACAGATTAAATAAATGCTGTCACTCTGTGTTCAAGTTATGTTTTATAGTGCATAATGGCAATAAAGAGTTAGTTTCCAGTATATGTGCAGTGTTTCCATTCTTACAGATTTGGGTAATGGGAAATAAAAAAAAAGGTATGTCATGATTTGCAATTGTGTAGAGTTCTTTCCACAAGTTTGGGTTTGGTGTCACAAGTTTATTTCTTGTCTAAAGTGCGTTGCATTCATTGCATGCGCATGATTCTAACTGCTTGGTGTAGCGTATATTCAGTATATAGGTGACCAAAAGTTTAAGCACAGTTTAACCCTTCAGCGAGGAGTGCCGAACATCGCTCGTCATGACGTAGCATGACTCTGACAGATCGATTTTACCAGTGTTTTTCGACTTTGAAATATAGATCGATTTTTGAACTCAACTGCATTCAGCCTCTGCTTTGTGGCTCTCTCTAGGGAAGACAAATGGAGTAATATATTTAAGGTTTCGACGGCTGTGTAGGACACATTCGAACCTTTCTAACGGTATATGATGTCAACGACCTTAGTCAATGCATTCTCTGTTCTCCCCTTGGTAAGAACAGAATTCTATAGTACATATCTGCCGTCAGTCAGCCGTGATTATGGCTTCGAGTAGCAGGCGGTTTTTGTCTCAAGACATTGCTAGAAGTGTAGACGAACCTCTAACTGATTCCGAAAGTAGCGTGTTCGATTCAGATGATGAATCAAGTGTAATTGATGATTTACCTGTGTGTGAAAGACAGTGTTTTGGTGTCCTGATTGTGAGGCTGGTCTCTGTTGATGGCTGTTTCAAGATATTCCACACAAAACTCAACTTTTAAGGTAAATTTTTACCTTTCTATAAAGCATAGTGTGTTGTGAACATTTTGTTCAAAGTTTCACTAAAATTCATCAATTATTAGGGAAGTTGTGCCCATATAAGTAAAATGATGCACTTTCAGCTCAAAATTAAATCCCCAAGCAGAAACTTCTCCCACAGCAGGGTATAGACTTGGGATTTAAATGCTCCCATGCTGAAGGGTTAAGTAATTTTCAAAACAGTGAGCTAGCATTCAAGATTTGTTTACTCTTCTACAGGTGATGTGGTACATGCTCCATCTGCACCCTTATCCTATACTGTACGTAACATTTCTTCATTGGCACTCATTACATCACATTTTCCTACAGTTCTCATCAGGAACGTGGCAAAGGGCTTTATTCCATGAATACAAATGTGACATAATGTGCAATGAATATATTGATACCATTATAATTGCAGTCTGAGAACATAGATGGTTGGCAACTGTGAAGATGTTATCATTTTAGGTTTTTTTGTGGATTATGATACTCATGATAATGTATTCATGTGGAAGAGGTAATGTTTTATCCTGTACATTTGGCACCAGCTGTATGTGTTTTCCTTTGTTGCATAAATACAATTTTGCTGTTGGATGACAAAAAAAGATAGTGAAATAGACAAAATTTGAGTATTGACATTTTAAAGTGTGGCAGGGCCTGACGTTAACCACTCACCTCCATCTAGTGCTGAGGTTAATGAGTAGGAGATACACCATATCTCCTCTCAAGCACCTACTTGGCATATAGTGGGACAGCATTATTTTTATGTATTAAATTTGCGCATTTGATTGGTGTGCTCTGTTACATGGTTATCAATTTGTAAATGATTTTTCTATTTGCAGAGTTATGTATGCTCGTCCTATATTTAGCTACATTTGTTTCATATATATTTAGGGCCGAGTTGGCAGTAAACCATTTATTCATGAGAGAACAAATACAAATTTTTACTAGTTGTATTGCACTAGGTGTCATAAGCAAATGAGAAGATAGGTATGAAAATTAGGCGCCCTAGAATTGTGGGATATTTGAGTTTTTAATGATAATTTTACTCATTTCTGTACAGACCTGTAATTCAAATCCCAAAATCCATTCCACAACATTACTCCATAGCCTCCAATACCTAAACAGGTTAGCAGTTTCCCTTCTCTACAGAATCTGTTCGTATCTACTGCCATGTATTTGTTATATCTTGTAAGGGCGAATAGCGTAGCAGTCTCATTTATGTGTATAGTTATACTGAACTTTGCCTCTGTCGACATTTCATTAACATTCGTCAGAACCACGTGATTTATGGTAATCCCCGATATTTGTATAGCAGGCGCATTCGTTCTTGGCCGGTGGAGAAGCTGGCGGTCGGACCTACTCTGGGTACGTGAGGTGGCCAGGTTAGTGTGTTTTTGTTTGGGCGTTGAATCCGATAGCTCCTCGTCCTTCCTGGATACACACGAAACATACAAGTGACTCGCTTCTAGCCTTCCCCTTGAATACTTCACCGGCCAAAAACTATTGCGACCACTATACTGTTGGGTTTTCAGGGCGTGCCTACGTTATCTCTGACGCTCGTACATTTCTGTCTCACGTGAGGCGTCGTCAAGCTCAGCAAAAAAATCAGGTTTTGATTGTTAACTGCACTGCAAATTTATATCTGCGTGCGTGAACTGTAAATGGTTTCCAATACCGGTATAACTATGGTGTCACTAAAGACAGTACTATATGGACTACTGGTGGTAATTGCCACGGATTGCCAGATAATAAGGTAGGTAATAAATGAAGTATGATTATGAGTAGTGTTTAGGCCAGTTGGTTTCGTTTATGTAAGGATCGTTTAATGAACGGTTGTTTCTTTGCAATTCTTCAAATGGAGGTTATAAATCTTTAAAGGAGACGTGAGGATTATGGATGCTGGGTGGTAAGAATTTCAAAGGAGGAGGTCGTGTATCAAGGTATTGCCAAGTAATATATCGCAGAGAATGAGAAAATGTAAGTAGGATATGAGGTTTTCACGACGGCGAGTTTGAAGCTGGCTGTGTTGATGACATCACCCTGATGATGGTGGCAGCTAGGACTGCTGAAACGTCGGGAAGCTTCTACCAGACGCAACAAACTAGAAGACAGCCATCTTGAGAAAATCTTCATTAAGATTTCGGGCGAAGTCGTAACATGACAACCAAATACAAGTTTGGGGGTATGTTATGTGTTTTCTCCAACATGAACATAGTCGAGGTTTGAAAGAATGCCTGTTACCAGTTTTCATTGGTAATAAAAGGAAATAGAGTGACTAGCCACAAGTAAACTATGTTAAAACAAAGGGAGTTTAAACTGATTTTTGTTCTTATTTTGACTCCAAATGTGTAAAATATTTGACAAAATTATGTAATTCATCATATTCAACATAGACGAAGGATTTCGGTTGCAATGGTATTGCTCCTGAAGAAATATTTCTTCCTTTAATAATACTAAACACTTCTTCATTTCAGAATGGGTCTGATGGTGTATTACAATCTGGTTTGTTTGGTTTTTGGAACTTGTCCACAACATCTGATGTTACTAAATGCATGAGGACATCCAGTTCTTGAAATGTGTTTTTTAACATCTGACGATGGACAAGGTCCAACAACCAAACAGTCTAAGCTTCTTTATTTGTTTTCCTCACACTTATGACCATTGTACCTCAGAAAGATTTCCTTTTCTTTCAGTGTTCCTCTGACCAGAGGCAAGTCGCCAAGACATCTGATGCTTGAACTTGATACTGACATAGATCAGCTGATGATGATTAGAAAGCCAAAGCCAAAACCAAGAAGCAATGATTCAGTTGCACTATTCAAGTATCTTGATGTAAGTATTGCTTCTAGCATCTGAGTTATTATATACATTATGGATGCATATGTTTCGTTTGTGTTACCGGATTACAAGACAAAAATAATAATGCAACAATTGTGAGTGATACATATATCGTGGACTCAAAAACGTAGTATCAGCAGTTATGTATGAATATATATATATATGGCATTAACTGTAGGAGTGTTGATCAGTAAATAATTTCTAAGGATAAGTTCCTCATGTATTTATTACCGGATAGCAAAGTAAATTACAGTGATGAGATATTCTCCCTCCACTAAAAGTGTTATGGTTTGGTTCAATAATGAGGCATCCAGTAAATTGTCATCTTTTTATTATTTTATCTGAGGAAACAAAAACTTTATAGAGAATTTAATGCTTTTAAAATTTTGTTTCCATGCAGCAAATGCCTTCTTTCTGCTGTGCCTTACCTGCTAATGAGATGTGTGGGTGTATAAGGTATTATTCACTCACACTAGAGCATCACTTACACCTAAAAGCTATTTAAAATTGTGGTTGTTGATCTTACTAATAATGATGCTGTTACCATTGTTTTGTACAGTAAGCCTTTCTTTAAAGAAAATTTATTCCATTTAATTTGAATATCTTGTAAAGTAGGTGTTACAGTGAAAGAAACAACAAAGTCGGGTTTCATTCGACAACTCTTAGTGTAGGTATGTACCCAACACAAATTTCTTTCAGATCCACCTGATAGTTTCAGATAATGAAACATGGCTATTGATATGTAGGTATATTGACTGTGTTTGTATTGAATGACATTGTGTATGTGGTATAGCTAATATCAACTTTTGCTGGCTATTATTGTCATCAGCTAGGTGGCCTGGACATTGTTAAGCACACACTGTTAAAGTAGTGCGTTCTTGTTTGGTTAGGTTATCCAGTAAATGTGGTAGTTTAACTTCTGAATGTTCTGTTTTTAACTTTTTCCTTTTGTGTTGGATAATGCCATTAGCCAGTTAATCAGTTTCTGTTTTTTGCCCTAACTTAAGCCTATTCATTTTGTACACTTTGTTAAAAAATACTTAAAAGGAAGTGTTATTGTCTATGCTGGAGAATTTTTTTAACTTTTTTATCATATTTATTGTAACATATCACATTTGAAGTCCAAGATTGAATGTATCTATTCACTACATCATTGCTCAAATTAACTGAGAATGAAGGTATTACATACAGTCAGTCAACAACATGAACATATAATACAAAAATTTGGTTGCATTAATTTTACTATCAAATCCTGTTTTATGAAAAATATTGTGTGATCAAAATGTAAATGCTTTCATGAAACGGTACTAATTATATTGGCAAGATGCTGCTAATGGACCTATTTCAATAAAGATTAGTAAAATCATAAGTTTGTGCGTAGTGAGTACTTTCTGACAGACGTTTGGACAGTCAGTTGTTAATGTTGTTACCTATAATTGTTCCAACAAACTGAATTGAAAAATAATTAAAAAACAGGTCTTGCATGAAAATGATAAAGTATTTATGTTTGAAATTGTCAATTAGTTGTATTTTTATGCTTTTTCCACAGAATGAGTTTTATGGAGAGATTAGCATAGGACATCCTGCCCAAAAATTTTCTGTTGTATTTGATACAGCCTGGTCTGACACTTGGGTACCTTCTAAAAAGTGTTCTTTCTTCAATGTTCCCTGTCGTAAGTGGCATGTTACATGAGTCTTTATTTTATGAAGTTGTCTGTTTTGTCTTTTTGTGTGATGTATGTAATTATTTTTTTTCAGTGCACAATTGCCTCTGCATTAGTTGCATAAAGTGCCATGTACTGTGAATCTCAATGATGTAAATGAGTTTTATATAGTTAAAAATTCAGTAAACTGCTGATTTCTTCCATCTGACTCTGTCTTAAAATAGAATAGTGATGTAGGTTTTTTTTTATAAAAATGCCCCTAAGTAGATCCAGGTGTTCAGTATTTATATTATATAGTGATACCACGGTGGTCTAGCGGTTAGAACGCTGGCCTAGTAATCCTGGGGTCTCGGGTTCGATTCCCGGCGGTGCCCAAATTTATAACTTGTGTTGGGCAAGGCCGTGGTCTAGGCAACACAGAGTTTTCCTCCGGGGGCTTCCCCGGTTTCTCCGTGGCATCCCAACAATTACTCCATTCACACACAGAAGAAGGCAATGGCAAACCACTTCTGGATCATCTGCCAAGAACGTATATGAACAGGTCCCAGTCCGAGAAAAGGATGGAAGGATCCTGTTCATATGGACCTGTCGTCAGACAGAACACTAAATAAAAAATATACAGAAATATTGGATATGGGGTCATTCTGATATGTTAATTATGCATGGAATTTATATTTCAGAAATCCACTATAAGTATAATTCAAAGAAATCATCAACTTATATACAAAATGGAACAGTGTTTAATATTTCTCTTGGCAGTGATCAGCTGTTAGGTTTCCTGTCAACTGATGTGTTTCATGTAAGTAGTGAACACTTCTTATTAAGCATAAACACAGTAGTTCTGAAGTGTATGAATCAGTGTGAGTTAGTGTTACCCTTTGCCATTTGCTGCAAATTATGTATGCAGCAGATTTTTTGATATTTTTAGCAAGAGCAGTGCCTCTTTTGAAGACCCTCTCTATATGTGGGAAGGTAATTAGATAATTTGCTTTTAGCTTAGTTTTATTCTAGTTTGTTTTGTTTAATGTATGTACTAGTATTTGTTCTTATAGGCTCTTTACTATTAGCAAATACTAATATTTGTTGTTTGATATTTGTATTAGTGCTTCCTCTCATAGGCTGTGTGCTGTTGGCAAACACTTTAATAGAGGAATTTAATTGAATTGAAGTATTGTTATATGCAATGGTTTTGACAAGTTATCACTTAACATACAAGTTGTTAATGTTTACAAAAGTGATATATGCCGGGGCATATGTGTTACATGTTAGAAGCACAAACATTAGAACTCTAAATGTCTAAGGATGCTTTTATGGTAGTTTGTATGTATTTGAGTGGTTGGCATATTTCCTTTGGTTTCTGAAAGTCGCAGATTAAGATCTCAGCTTATAGACCAGTTATCCTGATTGAGATTTCTCTGCAGCCTCTCCAGAGAAAGACTGCATAGTACTTAAATTAAGCTATGACTGCTTTGTTTCACATCTTTTATAATTTATTATTCACTGATGCTCTGTAATCTAAATGCATGAAAAAGCATAAGTAAATAAACCAGAAATTATGTAGTAAGTAAGTGTATCTATTTTGTTAACATTGAAGTGGACCAGAATAATGTTATGAAAAAAGAAGCTATATTATTGTTTTGATGGCAAGCACACTCCATATAGTTTACCCTTCATCGTTTTTTGTTATTTCAGATTGCTCACCTTACCATAAATCAGACATTTGCTGAGATTGTGAGTGTTCCATATTTGTTTATCATGGCAAAGGCTGATGGCGTGGTTGGGTTTTCATATAGCTCATTAAGTGCTGATGGTGCAACTCCTGTGTTTTATAATTTGTTCAGGAAAGGACTCATAGAAAAACCTGTTTTCTCCTTCTATGTTAACAGGTACCTCATTATGTTAACTTTAATGAAGTAGGACTGATGAAGATGGCTGTCTTCTGGGTTGTAGTGCTGTGTGATCTGGTAGAAGTTTACTAACTTCAAAAAGTGCTTGCTTCCTCCATCTTCAGCATTATACGTTGTTGCAAGCACCTCTGAAACCTCAGTAAACTACTACTAAACTATATGATGCTACAACCCAGAAGGCAACCATCTTTATACTAGTCACCATGAGAACCTCAAATTCAGGAAAATAGGACTGATGTTTTGTGGGCTACAGAATCTCTAGATTTTGAGTAATGAAATGACTGAATACTTTATCTGACATGGGGCCTGTATGAATGTGTTATTGGACATTGTCCATTTTGTAGGTCATGTCATAACTCTTGCAGCTAAACGCTGACTTCTCTGGAGACCCAGCTGAGTGACTTCATTAGAGAATCACGGTGGGCAAAGTGGTACTGGAGCAAGTTTTTCTCTAAGTTCTTCAGTTTTTCCTTGCTAGTTATCACTCCACCATGTGTCACTATCCTGTGAGGTTTTTGACAACCTTGGACAAGCAGTACATTATCATATCCTTTATCCAAAGTTAGAGGCTTCATCTCTGACCCAGCATTTGGCTAATCTCAAAATAAAGGTAGCTTTTTTTTCTGTGGTTGTTTGATAATACACAAGGTTTTAGGAGTTGACTTTTCTTGCTCCTTAAGGTGATTGGTTATCATACTAGCACATTTGTTTTTACCTTTTTAGGCATGGTCACAATTACAGGTTGCAGAAATATGTCTTTTAGTTTTACCATATTGTCAGTTTGTCTTTCTGTCTGTCTGCATATAACAACTTGAAAATTACAGAACAGATTTTCGTGAAATTTATTATTGGGAAGTTTTAATAAAATTTTCCAACACATCCCAATTTGGTTAAAGTCATGCAGCAATAACTAGTGGGCACTTCAAATTAAGACCTACATGCATTTCTGTTTACAGAAGTGACTGGGCCGTGTCCTGTGAGATCTGCTTGTTTCTTTCTGATATGACAGATTATAGTCAAGAAATAACAAAAGATTAAAATATTTCCACTTCACTGTCATCCTCAGGCTCAGAGAATGCTATGAACTGATAAATTTACTTGTATGAACAGAATTTTAAAAAGTGTGCTGTTTTTAAATGACTTTTCAAGAAATTTCACTTTCAAAAAATTGTTATAATGTGAAACATTAATTAATTATGTTTTGTGGTTTTTATTTTTCTTCTTCTTTTCAGAGACATTACAACTTCTAGAGGTGGCAGTTTGTTTCTTGGTGGTTCTGACCCTAAGCATTACAATGGAAGCTTTACTTATTTATCTGTTTCACGCAAACTTTATTGGCAGTTTCATATGGATAGGTAAGAAGATTCTGTCAAGAGCATTTCATACATATATTGGAATGGTGCTGTGGTAAGGTTTATCACTTACTTGCATATAAGTGTTTCTTTCCCTGTTTTCTGCATGTTGTGGGGCTGCCTTCAAGGTATTGGTTTCTGAACTGTAGCTCAGTCAATATAGTGACTGACTACAGACTGGATGACCAGGTTCAATTCCCGATGGGCAGAGGATTTTTTATCTAGCCTCTGTGCCCAAACCAGCTCTGGGACCCACACAGCCTCTTGTCCAGTGGGTACCAGGAGTCCTTTCCTTGAGGTAAAGCACAACTGGGGAGTGATGCTGACCACTCACCCCCATCTAGTTGTGTGTATTAGAATGAGTAAGAACTATACCTCTTCTGCCCCCAAGCCCCAACATGGTTTAAAGTGGGACAGCTTTACTTTTGCTGTACATAAAATTTCACTCCTCTGTTATGCCTGTCTTGTCTTGATGGCATTTTACTGTTACATGTGTTTAATTGATAAACTGCAAAACTAATATATAAATACCACAGCTTATTTCATATAATTTGAACAGAATGTTTAGAACCCAGATATGTTGCAATCAAAGTAGCACTTGTTTTATTTCAAAATGGCTAAATTAGGCAATTACTTATTTATTTGGGAGTGAGATAGGGCTGGAAACATTTGCAAGGAAAATTCTGTAGATAATTAATTGATATGTATCAGTTGTTTGCACTGACTTTGTACAAGATTAAGTTCTGTGTGATGGATATTGTATATTGTGAAGTGGGGGTATAGGCTTACAAAAGAAATATGACATGTTCAGGTAATTGGTTGTAGATGATGTGATGTGTAAACTGGCCGTGTATTGCAGAAACATATTACTATACCATTAACCCAAGAGTTAACCTTTTTGCTTTGTATTATTTTCTGACCTCTTTCCTGAAATAATACAATTTTAAGGTAAAAAATAAAAAAAAAACATTTTCAATGTATACATTTTTGTAATGTAATGCTGCATCATTTTTGTACAACTTCATATGCTTCAAGTTAGGTGGCAGCACTGTGTAGAACAACAAAAGTGCTTTTTCATAGCTCACTTAATGAAGACAAATGTCGAAGTGAAAGGAGATTATTTCTTGATGTGGAATAAAGTCAAGTGTCACGCTTTATGGTAATGGATACTTGTTCAGTTTCAGTCATATTTCACAGCAGTGGGGTTAAAGTCTGGCCTGCAGCCTCATAATGTAGGGGTTTAACTCTACTTACTATTACCATATGATAAAGATCAGTCTGCACTAGCCTGTTCTTGTCGCCATATATCCATGTAGTATTCACTGGCTAAATTTGAATGGGTGACAACACAAAACTAATATTAATGTTTTAATTTTCAGAGTGGATTTGATTGTTTCAGTTCATAAAGCATTGTCATTCTGTGCAAAAGGTTGTGAAACAATTATTGACACTGGCACTTCCACAATTGCTGGACCACCTAAAGAGATACAAAAAATCAATGAATTAATAATGGCAGACAGCATGATATTTGGTCGGTACAAGGTATGGGTAGTCCTTGATAGTTCAGAACTTTTTCACTGAATCCTTTGAAGCTGAAGCTCATGTAAATAATATTTAAAAATGTTATTATATTGCTCAAAGAAAATGCAATGCATAGAGTACAGTTGGTTTATGGAATTTTGAGGAATATTTGCTGTTTACTTTGAGAATCATATGGTATCCATAAATACACTCTGTGGGCAAAGTGCATAGTTGCTGATTGTTAAACCAGATGTTACATATAGTTACCATGTTGTAGAGGCTTAAAAATATGCTACATGGAAGTTAATCATACTCATCCAATTATCCATCTTGTCTTGTTCAAAGATTCTTTTCCATTGTTTGTGTTCTTCTAACTTTTAGTAATTAGTTTTACTTTTATCTTCTGTTCATTTTTATTTTTGTTATTTTATCTGAAGAATATAGGTGCAGGCAGTACTTAGTCACTCTGTGCAGTATGTTGTGCATTTACTCACTTCATGATTGCCAGTTTAGGCTGTTTTTTAAAAATATTATTTACTGTATGTCATGCTGAAACAGAGCTTGGAAAACAGTAGTTGCCAAATCAGATTCATAATATTTTTGAAGATGACATCCTAACAATGCTGTTTATTAAATGATTTTTTTGGAGCTCTTTGGTTTTGTAAAGTAGTATGTGTATTAGTTGATTAACACATTTGGAAGAATCAGATTTTATTGGTCTACAAATAATGTAAGATCTATCGTTCATTAACAACTGCAGTAAATGTTTCAGGTGCCATGTAACCAGGTCCATAAATTACCAGAAATTAACTTCATCCTGTCTGGGAAGAATTTCACAATGGAAGGAAGAGATTATGTGCAGCAGGTAATGTAGAATTTTCTGTAGGATAGTCTTGTGCTTATAATTTGAAGGGGTATTTTACTTCATGTTCACAGTTTTTGAAAAGACAGTTTTTAAAATTAAATTATAGGTGGTATCCTAGTTTCTTTGTGGGTAAAGAAATTGTTTTTCCTCTTTGGTTCCCCTAACTCAATTTTTCACCATATGGTCTGAACTTTGTGCATTTCAACTTTGCCATTCATGTGGGTTATCTTATCCTTGCATGCTTTCTTATTTTTCATACACACAGAGACATGTAAACTATGCCTTCAGTGGGTATGAAGAGGGTTGGCTTTTGTGTTGTGCTATGTTGTCAACCCACAAGATAGCCATCTTTAGGCTTCTATGTTTCTATACCCACTTCGGGGGGGGGGGGGGGGTTGTTGAGATAGTATTCAAAAGATGTGGTTGAAAAATACCTGTTTTGGGTGTTTTGTGGTCTAACAGCGGTGGGGTGGGAAGGTTTGTTCTAGCGATGATGATTGACAGAGGGTATGCTACAGGTGCATGTGGTATTCTTCAATTATTAGTGTCCCACAGGGTGGGAAGGGGTATTTACAAGGTATTTGTTGGGTGACCTGAAGGGAGGAGACCGCTGGGAAGACCTAGGCGTAGGTGGGAGGACAGTGTTAAGATGGACCGTAGGGAAGTAGGAGTTGATGGAGCGAACTGGATGCAGCTGGCTCAGGATAGTTTGGTGGTGGGCTTTGTGAACATGGTGATGAACATTTGGGTTCCTTAAAGAACGTTGGCTATTCTTTGACAGACCGAGTATACAATTGACTTTTCAAAGAATTTCTGCACCATAGAGTGAGTGAGTGAGTGTCTCGCAGTCAATTCTGTTAAGTTGTACTTTGCATCAGTTAGGTGAAAATGTTAACACGTGTATCCTAAATAAGCTGACTGAAAATCATAAAAGAAGCTGTACTGACAGTTAAATTAAAGCTAGAGTTATTTTAAAAAAATTTGGAAACAGGAAAATGGCAACAATTAGTCGGAGAAATGAGTTGAGATTGAGAGATTATGTCCATGAAATGAAGCTACCAGGCTGACCCCAGAACTATATCCAATCAAGACGACATTATAATAAAATTATGGAAAGAAATTACAGTGTTGGATGCTGTATACAGCATATCTCAACACAGGCTTTCATGTCTTCAGTAATGCTGTTTTGATCTTGGAGGAAACTTGATCTAGATCTAGGAATAAATGATTTGCATGATGTTTGTAACATTGAAATCAACAAATGTGATATTCTTGATGTGAAATTTTTAAAAAAATCATTGAAGAAATTTCAAAGAATGGCTACAGAGTGATGTGTATGAACAGGACTTCCAGCACATGACAGATGCCAATTCTGCCACAAAAATAAGGGAGAAGAAGAGGGTGGAGACAATGATTGTGATTTTCATACTGTTGTAAGGAGGAGTCTAAACTGGTCACAAATACAAGTGATCATTACAAACTGTTTCTGAAAATAAATGTCAGTAATGTACAAAGAAATGTAAAGCAATGTGTGAATTCCCGTGAATGCATGAAACAAGATATTTTGGATTGTCCGTGTTTTATCCCCTTCATTAGCCTCGATAATTGGGAGTTTACCGTATACAGCAAACAGGCATAATAGGTAAATTAAATGTGCCCTTGTTTTTCATAATACCCCCAGGTTTACATTTACTCACACTTGTTAATTTTATTTTAAAAGTACAAGTTGAGTTGCTCATAGGCAGAGTACGAATATTGTATGAGATTCCAGGTTCTCATGACAGTGAGGATATCAGTGGTGGTGAGTCTTCTGGGTATTGGTACCATGGATACATCATATTTCTCCAAAACATTAGTGCTTACCTATAGTTCCACGTGGTATCACAGCACAGAGGTCCATTATTGACATAAAAACCTGTGCACTGAAGAGATTTGTAATGGAACTGCTATATCATGTGACCTAGACAGCATGTTGAACAGGTTCATCATTTTGACGTTTGTTAGCTGAACACCACCTGGTGATACAATTGTGTGACTCAGATGCATGCACAAAGACATATACCCACACTTTACAATTGTAACGTAGATATTCTGAACAAAATGAAACTGTAATGATGCTAGGGTTAGCCATTCTGTTGTTAAATGTTTTCACTTACTGAAGTATTTTCTGTTTACAGATGACACAATTTGGTATAACAGTGTGCCTCTCTGCATTTATTGCTTACAGTGGTTCAAGTGGTTATGAGTGGTCTCTTGGGGTGTCATTTATTGCTAAATATTACACTGAATTTGATATGGTTAACAACCGTATTGGGTTTGCAAAATCAAATGAGTGATTTTAGCAGTACTGGCAATATTTTCAACATAACTGAATTGGTGTCAACACTTTTTACTGGTTATAAGACAGCACTGTTTCCATATTTTGAATGTAACTGGTTATACTTTTTGACTAATATTTAGAAGGCTACATTTATATTACAATTTAATTAGAACTTGTTATACTTTTTAATTAAATTTGGTTTCATTTCAATGATGGAACATATTGCATTTAATTATTATTTTGTGTGTGTTTATTATATTTTTGTCATATTTTCCAAGGAGGAAACCAAATTCGTGCATCAAGAGAGATATGGAAACATTAAACTGGATCAAAGGGATGTAGTTTTTAGTGACTGAAATATATGCAGTGATGTAATTTGGGGTTGAATATTCAAATCCTTTTATTTTCAATAAACAGCAGTTATGGCTGTTGAAGACAGTAACATTTCTTGTACTTAATATTTACTTATTTTTTTAAATATTGTGGAGAATAAATGGACAAATATCAGAGGCAGTATTGTGAGCATTTAAGGGACCCATACAATATTTTGCTCCACTCATCCATTCAACACTACAATAAAGTGTATGACTTTCTTCCTCAGTCCCTCCCAGACAAATGGCAGGATAGACCACTTGCTTCCATATCCTTTTTGACTGACTATTCATTAGTGACCCTATCATTCAGTGCTGTGTGTTCTGAGTATTGACAGCAACATTGAATAATCATAAATAAATACATTAATATAAGAAAAACTCCTGTGTAGTGAGATTTCAGAATGGAAATTCAGTTAATCCCCCCACCAATGTACCAGACTAATCTGGACCAGCCAGATTTTGAGAGGTTGGGCTAACAGTGTTGTGAGAAGAAAGAATGGAAAGGATCACTGCAAAATACCAACATTTGTGAAAGAATTTCACATGTATTGTGTTTGGTGAGGGGATTCTGCAGTGTTTTTATCTTTTAATTTCATGTTAACTGTCAGTATTTTTACATTGTAATTACATACATGTGATACAGGAAGAACAAATTTAATTATAATTGGTAATCAAATGTATCTAGTACCATTTTCTTTTTTGACAAACTTTTTATAGTGTTAATAGTTGTTTGCTTATTTTATATTCTAATACACTACACGGTATGCAAAGTTTTAATTTTATACTTAGTTTCTTGCAGGGGGATTTGTGCTCTTAGTATTAACTTACTTAAAAAATTTAGAGGGCAAGTAAAGTGGGGAAGCATTAGTCAGGTTTATCATAACGCACCATCGTCAGAAATCTATTATCTATTTAAAGGTCAGAATAAGACTTTCAAAGTTGAAGGATTAGCTAACTATGTTAGGTCTAAAATACATCATTGCGGAAAATATTTTAGGTAGTATTAAATTTGTAATAAAACTAAAAGCGACATGACAAATAATTTAATTGGCGTTCTTGCTCACAACCACCTAGTTCTTTTTTTATATCGGTCCTGACCGCCCTGGCATCTTTCCTGGCTTGCTTCCATCCACAATCACCTAGGTTATGGCTGTAGAATATACATTTTCCTACTGCATTACTGGATTAAATGATGGACATGTGACGAAAATAATACTTCATGTTAATAACTGACACTCAACGTAAAACGCATACAAGGTATATAAGAATTACAAAAATATATTTAGTCTTTGTATCATAAGGTCTTCAAAGATCATTTTTATAATGCTCGTTCAGGGGCCGGTCTCATGACTACGAATCGCCGACAGAAGCACTTTGCGGATGTGTGGATGATATTGAAGGTATCAGGCATTACGTGTTGTCGGTTCTTCAAATAAAGGTTCTGTGTCCATAATGATCCGTACAGGGCTGTTTATTATTTTGGTAGCAGCTTGCAGCAGCACGTTTGTTCGGTTAGTTATAATAATGTAATTGTTATTATTGGTGTGTATACAGTAAGTTTCTTATCGTAGTGAGTTTGTGTTTTTCTATTGATTTAAAGATACAATTTAATTTAGGATCTGTATTAATGGTGGTTTCTATTGAATGCAAGACTTCTTTGGACATTCGCTGTGCGTGTACAGTACACATTTCGAACATGTAATGTTGAGTGTAAAGTCACATTTTATTACTCTCAAAATATGCAAAACAGTAATGTTTTCCAAAAGAAAAAAAAGTTATCCACATCAATTCATTATTTGTCACTCACAGGAATAATTATTACGTCGCGGCCGAGGGGTTTGTGCTGCTCCTCATTCAGGAGGGCCCAGGTTAAAATCTAGGGATCACCTGTTCTGACGGTTTTCGTGGTTTTCTTCAGTCCGTACAGGCAAATGCTGGGAACATATCTTAACACAGGCCATGAAAACTTCTTTCCTTATCCTTTCCACTGCATTGTGTATTTGCTACTGACTTGTTAAATAAACAACATATACATAAATATGTAGACACCTTATCACTTGATAATGAAGAATAAATACTACATTATTAACAGACTGCCATTTCAGGTATAAAACTACCAAGCTGTAATGTCTATATAGAGATTAAGGTACATTTCTACAAATCACGAAGCCAACCAGCAATTGCAGAACTCAAATTATTTATTTCTCATCAATTAAATTTTGAAATTTTTTGTGAGAATATGTCTGATGTATCTTTCTGAAATGTATCCAGAAGGAAGTTGGGTCTGATTATTCTTGTTGCACATATAACACACCATACTTCAACTTTAATATCTTGTAATGACACTTTACATATTAGTCTGAGATTTTTTGCCTATTTTGGATCTTTAAATTTCTGCTCAAGTGAATCATCTGTTGGATTGACTTCACAGGTACACACTGCTTCACAAAATTAGTTACAAAACTGTACTCTCATAATGTAATCTGCGGTATGTAATTTCTGCCCAACTAAATTTGTATGGCTTCAGATAAAATTGTATGGCTCTGTGCACAAATGTCATTGATGCACAGGTTTGTGGGATAAGCATCTTAAAAACATTTTTGGGATGCCTTTTAACTGCACTCTGATATCATCCAATGTTCTTCTGAGAGAATAAATAATGTGCATTTTCACATCTGTAACAAATAACCTGTTCAGAATCTGTTCACTAGTTAGTGTACCATTTTGGAAGGAACTGAAACACTTGGGAATAGCTTTCATAAATTTGCTGTGAGTCTATGTGTAGAATTTCTTCCTTACGTAGGTTTTGACATCTTTATGAACAAAAATTTGCTTGTGTTGGGCAGTAGTTATGAAACTACACTGTATTGCATTAGTCTTGTTGAGGTGTGAATAATTTTCCTGTTTATGAATTGGAATAACAGTGAGCGAACTATCAGGAAATGAGTTAGTCATGATGCAGAACATAGGCATCCCTTCATAGTAGGTGGGTTTTGAGTTAAATGGGAGACTGTATTAATTGCTCATGTATGTGTGTGTAAGTGATAGATTGCAAACTAAAATGTGTTTCACCAAGTGCTGTCTTACCAAATAGTTCAGTGAGATGACCAGTTTTTGTAATTTTTAAATAGATTTGAGTATTCATAGTGTAAGGTTAAGAGGTAGGTGGTACAGAATAGAAGTTATAAAGATATTCTTTTCTGTAGGATTCCGCTGTATAAATTCCAGTCAGCACGCAGAGCACTACAGGAAGCTGGTACAGATGTGCATCAGATTCGACTGACAGAAAATGTTGATGGGCCTATTCCAGAACCATTATCAAATTATCTTGATGTAAGAGATTTAAGGTTTACATGGTAGTGAAAATTTGGATTACGATCTTCTGTAGTTAACACCATGGAAGTATTTTTGCATGGATATTTAGAAGTAAATATTTGAACTAAACAGAGTTTTGGTTGATCTAGTTGTAAAACATGATAGTGAAACAAGGGCATGGGGTGACAAAGCAGAGAAATCAGAAATTAGCTAGGTAGATACCATTAGGTAGGTGGGGGAATTCTAAAAACACTGCATTGTATCAGAAATTATTTCTTATTCTTCCTTTCCAGTATAGGCCATATGGCCTGTTATGGGCATTACATAACAGAATTCTCTTTTTGCCTTGAAAGTGATATATGTCCCTTCAATTGGTTGCTAGCCAAAAGAAGGTAAGTACAGTGGTAGGGCTGCTACCTTTCTAGCCTCTGGAACAGCTGTTATGTACAGCATTTCCTCTGTACCTGATGAAAGAGTTATACTGCTGTGACTTGGTCTACAGGGCCTTTTAGTAGGAACAGGTTGCACCACTAGAAGGCTAAGGTTGGGAATTCGATAGGAGAGTCTATAAGAGGTGCATCAGTATCCCTTACAAACCTGTATCAGAAATTTAAGATTCATAATATAGTTCAAGAGGTGGAAAGACCATGTAGATATAATAGTTAAAAGACTGGTGGTTAAAGGTTGCATGGGAGTTCAAATATGAATTGCCAAGAATATCATGCAGCTAGCTGTACCTGATTCTTCAGACTAAATTTATTGTACCAAGTCCTGCATCACTTGCATCAGCAGTGTGTTCTTTTGCTAATAGTCCATTTAATGCTTGATGCAATTATATATTCCTTAAAAACTGTGCTGTAGCATGTCTGCAAACTATAAATCTTGCCAGGTTTTTTATTTTTAAAGATGCTGTTGAATGTTATTGAAACAAAATTACATGCTCTTTTCAAAAAAATTTGTTTAGTTGTAAGAGACCTGGGAGAATGCAGTTGTATTGATAATGAAGACTGATGCTTATTGGTTTTACTTTATGGTACTGTGCAACAAAGTCAATGATCATTATTTGTGATACCGTCTTTCATACAGTAATATTGTGTGATGTGAAAGGTAACCATTGCCTGATGTTTCTGACAATTTGAGCATGTAGATACAACAAATGATTTGAAGTTCTTATGATAATGGGGTTGTTTGTGATCTTCTGGGTATTGACACTGTAGTTTTGTAGGTAGTTACTGAAGTTCGGATTTAGTGAGAACCTCGAGACTGTATATCATTGTAACCCAGAAGACCAGTGACATAGAGACCAGATAGCTGAGATTAATTTGTTGTTTTGTGATGAACTGATAATTTTATAGGCACAATACTATGGTCCAATAAGTATTGGTGACCCACCTCAGAAGTTCCGAGTGGTGTTTGATACTGGGTCATCCAACCTATGGGTCCCATCGAAGAAATGTCACTACACTAGCATAGCATGTTGTAAGTAGCATAAGTAATGTTATGTTATGAAAGTGATTGGCTGCACTAATATGTGGCCATTTCCTGAAACTGGATAACTAACCACTGTATAACTAACTAACTAGATGGCTTACCGAACCCGAAGGTTCATCACCGAATTAACCAAAGCCCTCCACCGGACCCTGTCCTGGGCTAACGAAATCCAGTCTCCTTCAACTCCTATCTCCCATAGATCCCACCTGAGATTATCCTCCCATCTACGTCTAGGTCTCCCCAGCAGTCTCTTCCCCTTAGGCTTCCCAACCAATACACGGTGCACACCTATTGTCACATCCATGCGTGCTACATGCCCCGCCCATCTCACTCTTCTCGACTTAATCACCCTGACAATACTGGGGGAGCAGTACAAATTTTTAAGCTCATCATTATGCAGTTTTCTCCATGCCCCATCGTCTTCTCTCTTAGGCCCAAATATCCTTCTCAACACCCTATTCTCAAACACCTGCAATCTGTATTCCTCCCTCTGAGAGAGACCATGTTTCACACCCATACAAAACAACAGGCAGGATTATTGTTTTGTATACTTTAATTTTCAGGTTCTTAGAGATCAGACGGGAAGACAAAATATTTTGAACTGAGAAGTAGCAAGCATTTCCAGAATTTAATCTCCTCCTAACTTCCTCATGAGTATCAGTTTGATTTGTTATTGTTGTTCCCAGATATTTTGAACTTTGTAACCCTTTCAAAGGACTTATTAGCTACCCTGCCAGCCTGTCTGCTGATGACGAGATACCAACATGTACTTAGTTTTTTCTGAATTTACTTCTAGCCCCACCTGTCTACTAGCCTCTAGTAAAACTTCTGCGTTCCTCTTTATTGTATTCATATCGTCCACCAATAAATTAACATCATCAGCATATGCCAATAGCTGATGTGTCCCATTCAATTGCAAACCCTCCTGCCTATCTTGGACTTTCCTGAT